ATATATGCTATTAAACTGAGGATACTGATTGGGAAGAAATGGAATTCTGAAATTTGAAATGAGAACAAACAAGGACATTGGACCCTCAATTCTTATGAGTCTTCTTTGTCAGTAGAAGAAGCTCTTCCACCTCTACCTAAGAAGAGTAACCTTACTTTGTGTGAGGAACTATCAGTGGCCTCCCCTGAGGTACTTGTCTTGCCAGACACTGCTGACTACCCTAAAGAACTATGTTCTACCACCATTCTTTGCTTCTGGAACCACAACTAGACTCAAGTCCAAGCAGTCCTCAAAAGGTGAGGTATAAAGTATGACCCAAGAGTGTGTGTATACACCAAACAGAAGTGCATGATTTATCCAATATACACAGACAGAAATCTGGAGATTATATGTGGAAACGGATACCAGGCATGTAAGATACGAGGATGGAGGTGGTACCGTGGTAAAATGCAATGCTCTTTGAGGCTGACCCGGTGGGAATGGTACCAGTTCACATCCAGAAACCTTCTTGAGTATGCCAGGTGGACATGTGCCCAAGATCTCAACTGGTTGAGGCTATTATGCTGTCAAGATCCTATCGGAGGTCCTGTCTCTCTGTCTACATGGTTCACAGAACTTAAAAAAAAAAAAAAAACTTTAGAGACCAGCAGACAGTGTAGTGGTTATGTTGCTTCCACCTGGCCAACTGTGGTTCAAGTTCCAGATCCAGTAGCTTGAAAATCATGCTGGACATGTGTGGGTACATGCCCAAGATCCCAGGAGAAGAATGGAGAAGGGATTGCGGTTTGGTCATCCCCTGGGGGGTAATTCCTCACTTTCTCTCTCAGTGTCTCTGTCTTTCTCCAGTGAATGCATGTACCCTAAGGCAAAAACCTCTTAAAAAAAAAAAAAAGACTTTTTAAAAGTGTGGGATAATGGTGGAAGGAACAAAAAGTTGAATCAGGCCCAAGTGACTGGTATGTATCATTAAGCAGAGATTTTGAATTTAATGCTGTAGCCTGAGAGGTTAGAAAAGGCTCTAATGGTTTATTTGGCTGGTTAGCTGAAACATGGATCAAAATGTGACTTGAACTAAATGAAGGTGAAATGCCAAAACTGCCATAGTATGCTACAGAGAAAAGTGTCCAAAGGCTTAGTGAAGTTGGAATATAGAGTGGATTTACCATGTAAAACCTGCTCATCCATTCTAGGAGAGTCTGGAGGACATACCTGTCACAATTGTGAAAAAAAAAAAAAAATCTGTCAGGAGAGCCTGGGCATCCTTGAAGAGTTCTGTGATTGTGTTTGTCTGCAGGTCAAAAATTATAGTGGGAACAACTACCAGTGAATACAGAATCCTAATGCAATGGAAGGTGGGTATTAATTGGGTCTGGGGGCCAAATGGAGGCACTTAATCACTGAGCCAATGTGGACGCGGTTACCACAATGAACAGTAGAGTCAAAGTAACAATCAAAATGGTATGACTCACAGAAACATATGGCATTGGCCAGTTTATCACTGTGTTCCTAGATGAAGTAGATGGGCAGGCAGTCTAATGAATTTTTAGTTGACCTGTATAAACAGAAGCGTTCTAGGTCAAATGAACAAAAGTCTAGCTTGACTCATAAGAGTCATGCCCCTCAGTCATTTCCCATTCCCATACTTGAGCCTGTTTACAGACTCAGAACCCATGAATGAAGGGGAGGTCAGGTTCCCTTGAGGAAGGACCCTGCTACAATGCCAAAAATGTATACTACTAATCTTTCTCCCAGAATTCCCCAAAGGGACCTATGGTCTTTTATCAGGGTAATTCTGCATTGGGGAAAAGGAAGTAATTTGGCATTTTGAGAATCACTGGCCTTGAACTGACACTAATTCCAGGAAACCCAAAATGTCCACCAGTCAGAGCACAGGTTTATAGAAGTTAAGTGATTTATGGAATTTTAGCACAGGTCCATTTCACAGTGAATCCAGTGGGTCCCTCAACCTATCCTATTCCCTCAGTTCAAGAATACGTATTTGGAATAGCTATACTTGGCAACTACAGAATCCCTACACTGGCCCCTGACCTTTTAAGTGAGGTCTATTATGGTGGGAAAGGCGAAGTGGAAGCCACTAGAACTACCTCTACCTAGGAAAATAGTAAACCTAAAGCAATACTGCATTCCTGGATGGACTGAGGAGGTTGGTGCTACCATCGGGGACCTGGAAAGATGCAGAGATGGTGCTTCCTATCACATCCTCATTCAACTTGCTTATAAGGCTTACATAGATGGATTTTAAATGACAGTTGACAGTGGATTATCATACATTTAACCATGTGGTAACTCCAATTACAGCTGTTCTTCTAGATGTTGATTAATTGCTGAAGCAAAGTGACACATTCCCTGATACTTGGCATATTGATCTGGCAAATGCTTTGTGAGTGTTTGTGCATGTGTGTGAGATACATGTTAATAAAGACCACTAGAAACCACTGGAAGCAGTTTGCTTTCAACTGGCAAGGCCAGCTACACCTCCATTGCCCTATCTCAGTGGTATATCAACTCTCCTTCCCTGTCTCACAAATTAGTTCTAAAACAGCTTCATTACCTCTCTTCTACAAGACATCACATTACATTGATGACATTATGCTGATAGAACTTAGCAAGAATTTACAGCTACTCTAGACTTAGGGCAATATACCTGCATATCAGAGGGTGAGAAATAAGTCTGACAAAAATTTAAGGATGGGAAAGTAATTTTTACAAAAAATTAAGGTCTTTTTACTTTAGGAAAATTTCTAGGGCTGTATTATGTAGGGTACATCAAGACATCCCTTCTAAGGTAAAGGAAAGGGTTTTGCATCTAGCCCTTCCAAAAAAGCAATGCTTTGAGTCTCTTCAGATTTCCGAGGCAAGACATTCCTCATTTGGGTGTGCCACTCTGACCCATTTACCAAGTGATCTGAAAACCAGATAGTTTTAAGTGAGGCCCAGGACAAGGGAAGGATCTGCAACATGTCCAGGCTGCTGTACAATCTGCTCTGCCACTGGGGCCATATGATACAGCAGATCCAATGGTGCCTGAGGTGACAGTGGTAGATAGAGATGCTGTTTGGAGACTATGGCAGTTCCCTATAGGTGAGTCATAATGCAGATCCTTAACATCCTCTGTGAATAACTACTCTCCTTTTGAGAAATAATCTTTTGGCTTACTATTGGGCCTGAACTTACTTGCCCACTGAATTTAAGCATATTAAGTTAACAAAGGAGAAGCAACTTAAGGATTCCCTCAGTAATGGCAAGTGAAGAGAGAAGAGCTCAGTGCTAAATCCTGCCTTATAATGGGTGCCAGAAATGTGGCATACAGAAGGCTCATACCCAGGGGACCCAAGTCCCTCTGATTAAGGCCCAGCTTGTAGGTAGTGTGAGTCTAGTAGCAGTTCCTAGAGTACTGGGCCTGGATGTTACTGGAATCAGACTGCCTGAGAATGTTGCCCAAAGTTGGTAGTAAATTCCACCTAAGGTGACACACTGGCACAAAATAGACAGTCAACCAGTACCATATGGGAAAGTTGAAAAAAAACTTTGAAGAGTTTAAGAGTGTGTGAAATTGCTAAGAGGCGTGACCGCAGATCAGACATGACAACTCATTACCCTTAGCTCTGAGTAGTGGCCCTAACCCTGAGGCCTGAAAACAGGGAGATGGCCTTGCCCTCTAAGTTAAGGAGGTGATGGGTCTCTGCATTTCCCTGGCATGCAACCTCTGGGCTTGTGATGACAGCTACAGCCCCACTGACCTCTAAATCATTCTTGTAGTTATTCTTCCCTTTTCTTGAAGGATAATACATGTTCATGGTTAAATAGCTTTATCATCCCATTTCCAACCTGTAGAATCCAAGAAGACTGACAGCCTTCCTTCATTTTCTTCCAGCTCTATCTCCTTCAGCCCTACTAGCAGCATTCTACTGAGATAGTTGATTGAATCTACAAGGCACACATCTATTCTCTTCAGAAATTTATTGTCCTGACACACCCCAGGCATTCTTTCCAGAGAATACTTTCTCAAATTTATAATATAAATAGGCTGAGAATTTTCTACATCTTCTAATTCTGGTAACTTTTCCTTTGAAAAATCTTCAATATCTCTTTTCTCTCACATTTTACTATAATCAGCAAGGAGAAATCAGGCTGTGCTTTCAATACTTTGCATAGGAATATCCTTAGCGAAATATTCAAGTTTATCACTTATAAGATCTACTTTTCATCTAATAGAACACAATTCAGCCAAGTTCTCCACCACTTTATAACAAGAATTGCCTTTCTTCTGTTTTCAATAACATGTTCCTCATTTGCATTTGAGACCTCACCAAAAACACCTTTAACATTGATATTTGTACCAACAATCTCTACAAAGCAATCTAGGTTCTTTCTGTCAAGCACTTCAAAACCTTTCAGACCTCTATCCATTAACTAATTCCAAACCTATTTCCACATTTTTAAGATATTGGTCACAGAAGTATCCTACTTCTAAGTATGACCATCTGTCTTTGTTTCTTAGGTCTACTGTAACAAAGTACCACAAACTAAGAGATCAAAACAACACATTTATTATCTCACAGTTTTAGATACCAGAAGTTTAAAATCAAGATGTCACCAGGACCACACTTTCTTTGAAGACACTAGAGAAAGAAATAACTTATGCCTCTCTCACGGCTTCTGGTGGCCTCACGTGTTTCTTGATTTACAGATTTATCATTCCAGTCACATAACATCTTTTCCCTGTGTGTCTTCACATCATTTTCTCTCTGTGTGTGTCTGTCTCTGTGTTTAGAGCTTCCCTTTACATAAGGAAACTAGTTATACTGGATTAGGGCCCATCCTAATGACCTCATCTTAACTTCCTTATTTCTTTCAAGACTGGTCCTAAATAAAGTCACATTCTGAGGTACTAGAGATTAGATTTCAACATATCACATAGTGGGGACACAATTTAAACCAAACTCCACACAATGGCTTTAGACAATGGCTATGCTTACCCACTGAAATCAGGTGGCTGTAGTTCTCCAGCATTACATCATGGTACAGGCATCTTTGAGTATAGTCAAGTTGCTGCCACTCCTCCCTACTGAAGTCCACAGTCACATCCTCAAATGACACAAATACCTGTAACAACACAATATTGCTCAGCACTAGAGGATGGGGAGAGAGTAGATAGGAAGTTATCTTTAATAGTTTTTTCATCATAATATACCAAATGGCATGCCTAATATATACCTCATGTACGTGTGCATTAGCAGTCTTATATTTTTTAAAAAATTGTAATTTTGTATAAAAGTAGATTTTGATTCTATTGCTTATTTTTATGGGAAATTTGTGTTCTATAACATTTAAAAGAAGTATATATATATTCCCCTCAACACCATTCTTTTAAATTTCACATAGCTCCTCCCTCTATTATTATTTCCATTTAATCTTCAAAAATATGGCCATTTCGAGGCTGCAGGCCAGAACGCCCCGGACCGTAGCGCATGCCCACCCCTACTCCTCTTTGGACCCCAGGTTGGTTGCATGGGACTTTAAGACGAACTTGCACTCCACCCCACCCTCAAACCAGATCGAGCCAGTCAGCAGTTCCAGACACCAGGCAGCCTGAGGCTGCAGGCCCGACCACGACGGACCAGACATGTCCACACCTACTCCTCTTTAGACCCCAGGTTGGTTGCATGGGACTTTGAGACAAACTCGCACCACACTCCACCCCACCTGCAAACCAGATCAAGCTGGCCAGCAGTTCTGGACACCAGGCAGCCTGCCCTGGACCTGTCACTCATCCTCGGGCCCTTCCCCACTTGCTTTTGGACTCTCTAAATTTTAGTGATTTGAATAGCATGAGGCACACACACAGCACGTGATGTCTTCTTTTGTTTTATTTTTCTTTGCTTTTGAGGTGTTGCTTCTTAAGTCAGTTGGAGGCTCACCACTCCTTAGAGACAGGGAGGACTTTGGGTCATCCAGGACTAAGTGGAAAGAGTTAAGGGTAATGATGAGCAACAGGTAGGCCAACCATAAGAGAAATCATAAATGTTCA